TTTTTTTTTTTTTTTTTTTTGTCTTTTGTCTTTTTCCGTGTCCGGCAACGGATCGCAACCCTCAGTGTTGCCCCCGTACCGGACCGGGGACCGGCAACGGGACCGCAACCCTCGGCGTTGCTCCCGCGCCTCGCTCAGCCAGTGAGCGGGAACCGGTCTGTATGTGGGATCCGAACCCTGGGGCGGGAGGGCCGCCACGCTTCCCAAGCAGCGCACTATCCAGTGTGCCACCGGGCCGGCCCAACCAAGCAACAATCTTAAAGAAACTCACTGATACATGAGAATACTCAGTTAGACAACATAATGAAATGAGAAAAAAGGAAAATCCAGGATATGAAGGAGGAAATTTACAAAGAGATTAATACCTTAAAAAGGAATGTAGCAGAACTCACGGAACTGAAAGATTCACTCACTGAAATAAAAAACACAACCAAGAACTTAAGCAGCGGCTAGAACAAGCAGAAGAAAGAATTTCTGATCTGAATATAGTCATTTCGAAATAACCCAGGTGGACAAACAAAAGGAGAAAATAATTTTTTTTTTTTGTCTTTTGTCTTTTTCCGTGTCCGGCAACGGATCGCAACCCTCAGTGTTGCCCCCGTACCGGACCGGGGACCGGCAACGGGACCGCAACCCTCGGCGTTGCTCCCGCGCCTCGCTCAGCCAGTGAGCGGGAACCGGTCTGTATGTGGGATCCGAACCCTCGGGCGGGAGCGCCGCCGCGCTTCCCAAGCGGCGCACTATCCAGTGCGCCACCAGGCCGGCCCAAGGAGAAAATAATTTTAAAAATGAAGAAAATCTAAGAGAGCTGGCAGACAACCTTAAGCACACAAACATTCAAATCATGGGTGTTCCAGAAGGGGAGGAGAAAGGAAAAGGTATGGAAAACCTATTCAAGAAATAACATAAAACTTCCCAGATAAAGGGAGGGACACAGACCTTCAGATCAAGGAGGCACAAAGATCCCCAAACAGATTCAACCCAAAAAACATCCTCTCCAGGACATATTATAGTCAAACTGGCAAAGCTCAAAGACGAAGAGAGAATCTTAAAAGAAGCAGGAGAAAAGCATCAAGACAGCTTATAAGGGAGCCCCCATCAGAGTAACAGCAGACTTCTCAACAGAGACTCTACAGGCCAGAAGAAAATGGGATGATATACCCAAAATACTAAAAGAAAAAAACTGCCAGTCAAGAATACTATCGCCAGCAAGGCTATTCTTCAGAAATGAGGGAGAAATAGTGTATTTTCCAGACAAACAAAAACTGTGGGAGTTCACCACCACACGACTGGTCCTACGAGAAATCCTCAGGGAAGTCCTGCATCTGGAATCTGAAAAATGATAATCACCACCACGAATACACAAGAAAGAACAAAACCCACTGGTAGAACAAAAATTCAAATGAGAAAGAGAAAGAAATTAAACTTTACCATTGCAAAAACCCATAATGACAATGTAATAATGCCCCTGCTTTATTTCTGATTTTACTCATTTCGGTTTTCTCTCTTTATTCCTTGGTCAATCTAGATAAAGGTTTGCAAATTTTGTTGATCTTTTTAAAGAATGAACTTCTGGTTTCTTTGGTTTTCTGTATTGTTTTTTTAATTCCCTATTTCATATATTTCTGTTGTAATCTTTGTTATTTTCTACTTGCTTTTGGTTTAGTTTGCTCTATTTTTTATATTTTATTAAGGTAGAAGTTTATACTACTGATTTGAGATTTTTATTTTTCATTTAATTTACAAGTATAAATTTTCCTCTGAGTACTGCAGGAGCCCTGCATCCCATACATTTTGATATGCTGTGCTTTGACTTTTATCTCAAAGTTCTCTCTAATTTCCCTGTGATATTTCCTTTTATCCATTGTTTATTTAGGAGAGTGTTGTTTAATGTCCACACATTTGTGAATTTTCTAAATTTCCTTCTGTTATTGTGGTCAGAGAACATATTGTCTATGATCTTAGTCTCTTTAAATGCATTAAGACTTGTTTTGTGGCCAAAAATAAATAAATAAAATTTATTTATTTATTTGTTTTTCCTTTTTGTCTTTCTTCGGGTCCGGCAACGGATCGCAACCCTCAGTGTCGCGCCCGTACCGGACCGGGACCGGCAACGGGATCGCAACCCTCAGTGTCGCGCCCGTACCGGACCGGGACCGGCAACGGGATCGCAACCCTCAGTGTCGCGCCCGTACCGGACCGGGACCGGCAACGGGATCGCAACCCTCAGTGTCGCGCCCGTACCGGACCGGGACCGGCAACGGGATCGCAACCCTCAGTGTCGCGCCCGTACCGGACCGGGACCGGCAACGGGATCGCAACCCTCAGTGTCGCGCCCGTACCGGACCGGGACCGGCAACGGGATCGCAACCCTCAGTGTCGCGCCCGTACCGGACCGGGACCGGCAACGGGATCGCACCCCTCAGTGTTGCACCCGCACCTCGCTCAGCCACTGAGTGGGAACCGGTCTGTATGTGGGATCCGAACCCTCGGCGGGAGCGCCACCGCACTCCCAAGCGGCGCACTGTAGCAGTGCGCCACCGGGCCGGCCCCAAAATTTAGAACAAAGAAAAAGAAAAACAGAAAAAGAGGTCTCAGAAAACTTTAGTATCCCAGAATATTAAAATCTGGAAAGGCTCCATAGTCCCTACTTCCTACTCAGTTTATAAATTCTACATACAATATTCCCAAAGAAGGAAGGAAACTAACATTTAGGGAATGTCTTATTATTCACCTGGTATTACATTATTCACCTAACATAAGTTTTTGTATTTTGTTCTCCAAAAAGTATAGCTGAAGCAGCAGATGCTAACTCAGTATAAAACCTGGGACTGCATCTAGATATGTACGAATCCAACATCCATACTCTTTCCTTTATAATGCACAGACTACCCTGGTCTTTTAGCAATCTCCAATTCCTTCCTTTCTGTTTTTATAAAACAGTAGTTCTAAAGCAAAGGGAAATAAAGGTATGTGGGCATTAAAAAATAAATAAATAAAGAGTTGATGAATTCTCAAACCCGGATGATGGCAGGCCTCCCATCGGTGCCTCCCGATATGGGAGAGCAGTGGTAGTGCGGAGATTAAACAAGATAGGCATGGAAAACACCAAGCCTTGCGTATGTTGGGCACTTAATAAATGTTCATTGACCTCCTTCCTCACCAATGAGAGCAGCTGCCGAATCCTGCCAAAGTCACTGTTTCCTCGGGGTTTCCGCCCCAGCTCAGCATGCTATGCGGTGTGGGTCCCTTGCCACCAGTGGTGTGTAAGAGAACCTTCGGTGGTGCACATTTTATCTTACAAAACCAGCACATGAACCTATCACTACAGTGATGTGGTTGCTCAGGATATTGTTACTTAATTAACTGGGGTGAAAACCCTGAGTCAATTTAAAATGTGCATCTATCTTCCCTAAGTAAATAACTGTGCCAGTGCGATCTGGATAAGACCAGAACTGGGAAGGAGGCGCACGAATGACTGACGTTTGGAAATACCCTACTTCACGTCCTTATTGCATTTTTCAGGAATTTCCACAATAGCACTAATGAGCAGGGTCATGCTGACAGGTCATTCTGGGATTTATCCTGAGGGTGGAGTGGAGCCAAAAGAATTGAGTAATAGTTCCAGTGAATTACAACAGGAACATCTGAAAGACCAGTTTGTACATTGCAGATCCAGCCAGACGATAGCTATGCTTGCCACAGAACTGGCAGAAGAATTATGTGTGCGAATTCAGGGCACCTGTCTTGGTCTGATAGGATGAAGACATTTTACTGCACACGTGGTATCGATTTTCTTAAACAATCTATAGGAAATATCTTTCTTCCCTGCCAATAAGCAAGAGAACGTTCCACCGAAGTCTCAGGGGCTCAAAAACAGGATGGAGGTTTCCATTAGGTTCTCATCTTATATGTGTCTTGCTCTTTTACCAGCTATATGCCTTTACGCCTCCAAAAGGAATTTAAAATAGAGACAAACAGAAACACTTGGCTGAGCTGCCTCTGAGGACTGGGGGACCTAGCTCCTCCCAGCATGTGCTGGGTGGGCAGTGACGCCTGCTACCACGTGTCTCCTCCAGCACTGACCTTTGTATGAGTTATTTCCTTCTTCCATTGTGCGAAGGAAAACACTTGGTGACATTTTCCACTCCTCATCTTCTTCCTGTTCAGAGCAGAATAATATTTTTGTTAATGACAGGCATAGTTTATCTGTTAAGACTAGACAGTAAAAGGTGCATATGTTGCAATTACTATGACTCTGGCTTATGTCATGAAGGACCAGCCTTCGTCCACCTGGCCAGGTCCCCTGTGGGCTGGTTTGAGCAGCGGGTGTTGTGTCCACCATGCAGGCATGGATGGCTCAGGCTCACTGAGGAACGCCCTGCTGATTCCGGCTTTCCCTTCTCAGTGGCCTCCCCTGTGGTACCCGAGCCCCGAGTCTGGCCATGTCTTCTAATGTTCTGGCTATGTCCTTGCTCTGAAGGCCAAGTTCCCAGCCTGAGTCCTGTTTGCGACCCTGATCACATTCCACACCTGGCCTTTGGAGCTGCTCCCCATCCTGGGCTCTGCTGTGTCACCTGCCAGGGCTGCTCCTTCCTCCTGCTTACCTGTTCCCTGCCTGCAGCTGGTGTCTCACTAGCCTCCCTACCCTGGGCCCTCCACTGCAGAGATAGCCCGACCTTGTCGTCCTTGGCTCCTGCTACTGACTCTGTGTGCACCACGAGCAGAGACTGCAGGACCATCTGTCGCCTGCATAGGTGAGAGCTCTGCTCTAAGCCTCAGCAAAACACCCCTCTGCCCCCACACCTCTAGGTCCATCTGCTCCCAGTAGTGAGTGAGAGCCGGGCCTAGCAAGCCCTGATCATATGTTTCTGTGCAATAATGTTTATATCGAGCTCTGCTCTAAGCCTCAGCAAAACACCCCTCTGCCCCCACACCTCTAGGTCCATCTGCTTCCAGTAGTGAGTGAGAGCCGGGCCTAGCAAGCCCTGATCATATGTTTCTGTGCAATAATGTTTATATTGTACCTATAGTCAGGTTTCTGATGACTACTGTTACCCTCAGAAAGGGCACAAGGAACGATGCGGTCAACATCGTGGCCATGAGGAGTTCTCCAGAGCACTCTGAGTACTGGCTGTGCAGCTCAGAGGACCGATGGACAACAAGGTAACATGGGCACCTCTGCACTGGGCTGCTTCTGGAGTAGCCCATGACTCTGGGCACCTGACATGCCCTTCCTTTTCTGGACTCCAGCGTTGGGCTCATGACACGGCAGCTGACCACTGTGTGTCCACACGTCTTGGTGGTTTGCAGTGTCTGTGCCTCCGATTCCAACGTATTTCTCCTACCTCACTCCCCATGACCAAGCAAGCCCCGCACTCACCTGTTTTGCCCTCTAAGCCTTCCTGGATCTGTCCCCGCGCTTCCATTCCCGGTCCCACTGCTGTGGCCCCTTGTTCCCAGATGGTGCATGGCAGGGCCGCCCTCCTCTCCTGCCAGAGGGGCTTCATGGCGCCTGGATCTGTCCCCGCGCTTCCATTCCCGGTCCCACTGCTGTGGCCCCTTGTTCCCAGATGTTGCATGGCAGGGCCGCCCTCCTCTCCTGCCAGAGGGGCTTCATGGCGGTTCCAACCTCCTGACTTCCTTCCTCGGAAGCCCCCCCGAGGCATATGTCTTGGAGTTCCTCAGAGGCTCTGTCCCCAAGGGACAAAGTCCAAGCCTCTCAGCCAGCCACACGCAGCCTGGCTGTCTGTGTGGCCTTCGCATCTGCCACCTCCTGCTCCCACATTCTGCGCCGCAGCGCCAACAGGTGCCGTCCCTGGCATGCCACCACGCACTTTACTGCTTCCCGCTCTGTTCTCCTGCTGTCCCTCTGCCCGGAAAGCCGCCGTCCTTCAACGCCTTCTGATGACTTCAGACTCGGGCATGTCTTATCTCCTTCAGGAAGCCTCTCTGCTGGCCACCCTGCTGCCGGTCCAGTTTCCACCCCTGGCTCTGTCTGTGCCTCGCCCATCCCCTCTCATGACTGTTTCTTCCCGATGATAATCATCTATTTCCCCTCAGACAGAGAGGGAACAGCAGAGTCAGCGCTGCCAGCCCTGGTGCTGCCACCTTTGCTGTGTGTGAAAGGCGCAGAACAAACACTTGCTGGACGAAACGGGAACAGGAAAAGTACACCTTCAGCCCACGGATGAATGGACAGAGAACATGTGGTACGTCCATACAACAGATGTCGTGTTATTCTCCTAGGGAAAGGAATGAGGCCCTGACACACGCGACAGCTGAAGGAACCTTGAAAACGTCGTGCTGAGGGAGAGAAGCCAGACACAAAAGGCCACAGACGAGGGCACTTCAAGAAGATGGTGGAAAAATAGAATTGAAAGATAATACAAAAATTTCCACAAGCTTTTTGAAGTACCCCTGTACTGTATGATCCCATTTATATGAGGCATTCAGAAGAGGCAAGTTCATCGAGACAGAAAGCAGATTAGCGGCTGCCGGGGACTAGGGTGGGCTGGAAAAGCGGGGAGATGGGGATTGCTTGCTTAGTGGGCATGGGGTCTCCTTTTGGGGTGGTGAAAATGTTTTAGAACTAGATAGTGGTGATGGGTGCACAACAGTGTGAAAGTAGTAAATGCCACTGAACTGTCCATTTTAAAATGGTAAGTTTCATGTTAGGTGAATCTGATCTCAATGATAAATATCACATGTTCATTCTGAGAACTGCCCACTCTCGGCCTCTGATTCTTTGCTCTGCTATCCACAAGTGAGTCTCCAGAGGAAGGACATCTATCAGAGCACGAGGTCACTTGCTTCTGCCCAAGGTCTCCACTACGGCACTCCACTTCACTGTTCACCCCAGGGTGGCTTTTTCCAGATCTGAGATCCCCTGAAACCTGGAACCACTGTGTCTTTAAGTAGACTCACTTTTAAATATTCATTCTTTAAAAAGGGTCACTGCGCTGAAACCACAGTTGGTATGTTAGTTACAATTTTCTAACACAATTTAGAATAAAACACAACTATTGGGATAAAAGAGGTTTGTCTGAAACATGCCCCTGTGCTGAGAGCAGTGCCGGCTCATGCTCAGCTTCTCCCCAGTGCAGACTCACAGCCAGAGGGCGGTGCCATCCTGCACACCCTGTGGGGGGATGCCCGCTGCTTCCCTGAGTCAGCCCTTGTCCCCTGCTAGTGGCAGCCCTCCCTCACGAGCAATGCTGAATCACAACCAGGCAAATTCATACTCAGCCATATTGGTTATTTCTAAGGCAAGCACAGCTCTGATCAAGTCACGCCAGCTCAAGCGCCTGCAGTGGCTCTCCATGGCCTCCCAAAATCCACCCCCCCACCCCCTCTGGTGTGGTCAGTTACCAGCTTGCCCTCATGGCTACATTGCCCTGCCCCCTCCCTACTCTCATCTGTGGTTGGCCACCCTGGACTCCCAGTACATCTCTGAGTCTGCACTGTGTCCTTCAGCTTTGCTGGTTTATTCCTGCAACAGATGTGTGCCACACACCAGGCACTGGCATGTCCCTGCTCTCCTGGAGCTGGCAGAGAAGTAGGGAAGCTGTGTGAAACAAGATGTCACAAGAGCTACAAACAGGAGGCCCAGGGTGCTCGGGAAGGCTGCCTCCTCAGAGGAGGAGGAGGTGAGGAGGTGCAGAGCCCCAGGGAAGGGGAGCCTGGCAGGGCACAGTGTTCCCAGAAGAGGGAAGTCTGAGCTGGGGAGACATTCATTTGGATAATGGAAAGAAGTTTAGTGCAGCAGATGCACTGCATGGGGGTGAGCAGACAGGCATGAGGCTGGGCGGAGAGAGAGAGAGACAGAGAGAGGCAGAGAGAAAGAGGGAGAGAAGGGGGAAGAGGAAAAGAAACAGAGAGCGTGCACATGCTGGGACATCACTCTGGCTGGAATGGGCTGGAGGAGGCACAGGTGCACACCTTCTCTCTGGCCAGAATTCCCTTCTCCCATCTTCTTTGGTGGAAAATTCCTCTTGGGTCCAAGGCAAATGTGCCCGCCTCTGTGAAGCTGCCTGAATTCCCAGGTAAAAAGACTCTGCTCCTTGCTCTGCAGGATTGGCTTATACTTCCTGGCACCTGTTTCTCTGTTCACATGATTGGCTAAGTGCGTACATGTCTCAAGCGTTCTCTGGGCTGCGAGACCCACTCATGGAGAGGACTCCACGTTGCTGGTATTTTGTTCCCTACACAGAACCAGCGCAGTGCCTTGTATGTAACAAGTGTTTAAGGTACATAAGTAAAAATAAAATTTATAGGTCTGTTTGTATAACTTCATTTCTATAATAAATATCAAGGTCTCAAGGGGAAAACACATGTAAGCCAAGGCCAGTTTTGGAAACATCTACCCTGATGATATAGAATAGCAGTCACCAGACATCCGCATGATGTAATCCGATGCAGCTTTCCACGTGGTAATAATACAATTGGCAGTTACGTGGGAAACTTTCAGCTAGAGGAGAAAACACAGCAGAAAGTTTCTGCTTTCCCTTTTAAAGCAATTTCTTTCTTTGATAAAGAGTTTTGAAGTTGATTTGATATATCTCTTTCTTTGGTTGCCAGCAGATTCCATGCTTGCTGTGTGAGGGCTCAGTCTCTGCTGCACAGACGGCACCTTCTAGCCGTGTCTTCACTTGGTCGAAGGGCTAAGGCAGCATTCTAGGGCCTCTTTTAGAAGGGGGCTAATCCCAGTCACAAGGGCTCCACCCTCATGACCAAATCAGCTCCCAGAGGCCCAACTCCTAATGCCATCACACTGGTGATTAGGTTTCAACATATGAATTTTGGGGGGACACAAAAATCCAGACCATAGCAGCTAATAAACGTCAGTTTCTTACATTCAGTCCCCCAATTGACTTTCTGCTCCCAGAAGGTAGTGGTTGTTCACTCGTTTTACATCTCAGTTGCTTTCCAGGCTTCCCGACTGATTAACCATAGCAGCTAATAAACGTCAGTTTCTTACATTCAGTCCCCCAATTGACTTTCTGCTCCCGGAAGGTAGTGGTTGTTCACTCGTTTTACATCTCAGTTGCTTTCCAGGCTTCCCGGCTGACTGAATAACGAATAGATGAGAGAGGTGTGTTCTCACGTCCTGACCCACCTCAGAGTTGAGTCTGTGCATTATCTACCTGTCCTGCTCTGCTT